GGGGTTCCGGACATTCAGGGAAACTCCAGGAACTCATGTATTGCTCTTAGTCTGGCAGCTTCATGGTAGCAAAGAACTGGGCCGCAGATGGCTCTGCAGGGCCTGGTGTTTAGAAGTCAGGTAGCCGATAGTGCACAGGTAACAGTTGTCCAATAAACGAGTTGTTCCCGTGTGAGCCGAGTGGTGTGAGATTGGTGTGTGCACTGCATGGAGCGGGAGTGCTGGTGAACCGCTGGGGCCTCCACTGTTCCCGCTCAGGGATGGGCCTGCGCAGCCGCGCACCAAACATTCTTTCCTCCCCCCCCCCCCACCTCTTCTGGTGGCTGTTCCAGCAGGCAGGGCTGGCTGAGACAGCCGTGGTAAGGGAGCTGCTGTGGCACTGGGCCAGGACATGCTGCGGCCACGCAGCAGGGGAAGGGGAGGCCTGCTCTGGTGGCCAGGGCTGCCATGTGGCGGGGGAGGGGAGAGGCTTCCCCAGGGATGGGGAAAGTAAAAACCGAGCAAGCACGAAACGCTGCCACCACAGAATTCTGCTGGCTGCCATGGGATCAGGATTTGCCTCCAAGAATTGCAGGGATTGTTTTGAATGTGGGATTGGAGAGAGGAGTTGAATCAGAGAAATGTAGGGCTGGAAGGGACCTCAAGAGGCCACCTAGTCCAGCCCCTGGTGCTGAGGCAGTGTTTAGTACACTGGTCCCAAAAGTTAACAATCCAACCAGAGCAGAGGCAAATTGTTATTGCTCTGTTGAATGGAGTCCTGGGGAGATCGAGTGACTTACCCAAGGTCATACAGGGAATCTGTGGCAGAGCGAGGGATCAGCCTCCCCAGGGCTTCCCCCACCTTTCCTTTAGGTTAATGTCTATGTATTTAATTCATTGCTTTTCTTTCATTATTAATGAGCTTCCCTCAGTGAACCCAAATGTGTTCTTCCTGCATGCACTAGGGCACTCCTTTGCTCCAAAGTGATTTTTCAACACTCCTCTTTCTCCCTTTGCAGTTAAGGCCTGTGTCAGCAAGGCCAGTTTGGACACTGATTTAGTTTGACTAGAATGAGGGTCCACTAAGCCATCTGGCTGGTAGAAACTGCACCTCCCGTCAATTCGCCAGAGTATTTGAAGGGAGTGTAAGTATTTTGGCTAGTAATAGGCACCACACCTATTAGTGGCTCAAAGGACTGCATCCCCAAACAGCTGCTAGGCAGTCACACTCTCAGGGATTAACATTTAATTCTGTGCTCTACAAGATGTTTTATTCATAGGCTACTAGCACCAGTTTTCCAGCAGAGTAGCTGACAGGTCTATGGCACTAGCAGCCAGCTGGCTAACAAATGGCCTTGACTTGCCAAGAAAGCGTAAAGCTGGAGCCGTAGCTGAGGTGGAATTCTGTTCCAGCAGTGCTTTTACTGTGCCCTGGTCTACTTGCCTGCTCTCTTTTCCTAAATACTCTCCCCAGGTGCACTCAGCTGGGCTTGGTGGCTGGAAGTTGATTAAGATTTGTTAATCGATTGTTACTATTTTGTTTTGTTTTCAGTAACCAATATTTTACATACCTTTTTTTTTTTTTTTGGCAGTTTTAGTATGTACTTAAAATCTGTGCTTTTTAGCATGGTGCACAACTAGGCTAGCAACGAACACAAAAAGCAAACCAAGTATTTTACCAACTTCCCACTGACATCATGACTGAGTCGCTGTTTGCAGGCTTCTTGGAGACGTCAAATGCTAAAATCATTTTCCCCGTAAACACACTTCCCCTTCTGCAGCAAGTTTCACCTATTCTAGTCTTGGCCTCCAGTACAATTGTAATCCTGCCCTTCCATGGGTTGCATTGGTCCCCCAGGACCTTGGAGGCCACTTGAAACCCCCTTTTCTCCCCCACACTCCCCCGAGAAGCCAGGCCTGGCAGGAGGCATTTTCTACAAAGCTGGATCCAAACCCCACAGAAGTTTCTGGGAGTCTTTCCGCTGACTTCAGTGGGCTCAGTGGTGCTGCCATTTGCCCACCTCACCCTGCTCAGACGTGTAATGATGAGAGCCTTCTTGCAGCTTCTGGAGTGTGTGGTCAGCATCTCCACGCACTGCAACATGCCTGCGCTGGGAGTGAGTTTTCCTCCTTGCTGGCCAACAGCAACTCTTCTGTGTCTGTTTATTTTGGTCTCTGCAGTGGATTTGAGGCCCTGGGCTGGCAGGTATTTCAAAGAACTGGAGACGGTGCCTCCATCACCAGCAGCAGCTGCGGACGGTGTCCAGCCTGCCAGCAGCTTTCCCCTTTGCTGCTGTCCCCCTCTTCCAATACAGCAGCCATGGTAGGGCCTGATCCTGATCCCATTGGCAGAACGCCCATTGACTCCAAACAGAAGCCAGAATAGGCCCTCAGGGCCCAGCCTTGCAACATGCGGCACTTCCTCAATTCCCGCCCACTTGGGTGCCTCACATCTGTTAGGGGCTTTCCCTTTACCCCCTCCCTGGTGCTTGTCATCTCAGCCGCCAGCAGCAGACCAGCAGTCCACAGTGCAGATGTTTATTGGGGTTTAGTTTCCAAGCTCTTCACTCCAGTCAGGTCTTCCCCCTTCTCTCCTCCACCCACAGCGCTACACACCCATAGAAGCCTTTCTCACCCTGAGCGCTGCATGCTGACGAAGTGCTCTCTGCACTCGTCCCAGGGGCATTTACCCTGTGCCCCTGCTTAGTGCCCACACGGCAGATCTTTGCCTGTATCCCACTTCCCTGGGCCCATTCCATTCCCCCCACATCTTTCTTAGCAGGCCCAAATTGCCCTGTGGTGCACAGCCCTGCTCATACCCCTTACAAGGTATGGTCGTGTTCCCGTCCGGAGGGTCGGGAGTCATGGTCTTCATCCTACCCATTTTTTATCTCATGGGAGGGGTAAAGTATAAAGTTGTTCTGTGGCCAGGGACAGATATTTCTTTGGCATCTCATGTGGTGGTGTTCCACCCCCGCTCCAATCCCTCTCCCCCCTCCTGACTGGTTGCTTGACCTTGCCTCGAAATAGGAATTGAGGCACCGTCTGCCTCTGCGCTGTACTCCCCCCATACCCTGCTCCATCTCTTATCTTGCTGTCCCCCTGCTTGTGGGCAGATTAACATGCTGTCTTTGTTCACTCATCTTAGGACACGATGTACAAGTTTCAAAAGTCAAACCCTGACTTCTGTCTCAGGCTAACAATCCAGCTGATGTGCTACCTCTGCCAGATGGTGATGTCAGAGGGAGCTGAGAACCTCTGCTGGGACTGAAAAATGT